AAAACAGGGCCGGTCCAAACCGTTTTGGGGCCTTAAGCAGATTTTCATTGGGGCCCAAAAAACTAACATGTCACTCCAAAGTGACAAACCTACTAGTATTAGTGTTGTTTGTAATTAGCTTATATCAAAAATAGCAAACAAAACACAAACAAAAAGATTTTGAAATGTAGAGTGTGCCATATTATTTTTAATAATTTTAATTTAATTTAAATTCCCTTTGGGATAAATAAAGGACTTTTAAAAAGAATTTCCGAAAGTAGCTTCACTTGATAAACACTGGATTTATATTAATCAAGTTTTTGTTCTACTTGTGTAACTATAAAACAGCAGACAATGTTTTTCCATGTGTAATAACATTTAGTTTATTCATGATAACTTGGTGCTTTTGGACCCTAAGCAGATGCTTGACTCTCAAATGCCTTGGGCCGGCCCTGCTTTAGAACATATATTAACAGGTCATATTTATACACCAAACTGCTGCTATTTGGATATTTTTCTTTCTTTTGACCATTCTACATTTCTCTGTGCATGAAAGGTCCAACAGCTCAGGCGTTTCTGATGTTTCCAGATGAACCAAATAAGCACCAATAAAACATGGCAACATTTCCAACTCCCTTAATCTCCTTTTTTATTCATTTTGAATCTCACTTTGAACTCCAGCAAGCGTCCATGTGATTGGTTTAGTCACTATTTCTGTTAGCCAGCCCATAAACAGCCACAACACTGCAAAAACACAGAATATTACCAAGTATTTTTCTCCAGTTTCTAGTGGAAATATTTTAGTAACTTGAAATAAAACATGACTAACTTTTCAGCAAGAAATATGATCTTGTTTTAATAATCCCTTAATATTTATGAAGTTTAATTGGCAGATTATTTCACGTTTTTCATAAGAAAAACGTGAAATAATCTGCCAATGGAACTAGAATTTGGTTGCTAGGCGACGGCGTGGGCTTAGCTCAGGTTGCTAGGCAACATCTACCAATGGAACTAGAATTGATCAATATTAAGGAATTACTTAAAACAAGCCTCTGTGTTTTGCTGAAAAGTTAATTTTTTCCTATTTCAAGTAAACTAAGATGTTTGCAGTAGAAACTAGACAAAAATACTTGGTAATATTTTGTGTTTTTCCAGTGAAACTAACAAACTTTGTATCTTTTTTGCATCAGTGATGTTGATTCTTTATGCTTTCTTAACATAAATGTAAAGACTCTTCAAAACACTAAACACTTCTCTGGAAGTGGAAACTTACAGGAAACAAAATAAGTCAAAGTTCAGTTGAAACAAATAACGTCCTGCTAACTAAAGGAAGTAGGTTTTAAAATAAAGGAGCCTAAAGCTAATCAGACGCTGTGAGCTGGAAGTAAGTTGGAGTTAATTAAAGCAGAGGATTTTAACACTTTGTCAAAGTAACATGAAAGTCTTTACCTACAGCTTTTTTTCACACCTGCAGCTTCTCAGCAGAAGGCGGTTATCACAGCGAATGCAGAACTGCTGGAACAAAAGGAAATAATAAAGCACAATCTGATTTACTGTATTTAAAATAAAAGGGAGAACACATCCCTTAATGTCAGTCAGCTTTAGAAGACAAAAAACCCAGAAAAAATAATGTTACAGCTATATTTAAAAACAAATAACATAATTTGATTTAAAAAAAGAATCTCACACTGAGTCCTCCAGATTAAAATTACTATTCTATTTGTTATCAGTTGCCTGGGTTCAAGTAAAAGGTACAAAGAAAAGAGGAATCATTTTGTCTATTTCTGCAGCAGACAACCATGAACTAAATCAGTTTCATAACTGGTACTTTTTCACTTTAAAATCTTTCCAAAAGAATTTTTCTCTCTCATTTTAAAAAGCATGTCCAGATTTCTAAGCCATGCACAGAAAATGTGGTTTAAAACTTTATTTGAATACTGACATGGAGGAGTGTTTATGTTTATGACTGTTGTCACAAAGTGTCATTCAGTAAACAAAGAAAACGTTTGTGTGAAGTTGCGCAAAACGTCTTACTTTTAATGTAAAGCTGCATAATTTTTAATCTCAAATCAGATTTAAATTATAATTTTTAATCCCGGTCACATTGTCATTTTTAATCCCAAAGTCAGATTTAAAGTGCGACTTTTAAACCAAACTTGCATTAAAAGTTATAAATAATGACACTTTTAATGCAAAGCACATTAAAAGTGTCATTATTTTCCAGATGAAACACGATGCCAACAGCCATGAACATCCATGAAGACTCCTTCATGTCAGCCTTATGAACAAACCTTCACATAAAGCGTTCATCAGAAAAAAAGGAGCAGAATAAATAGATGTAAAGTCGACTTCAGATATTAGGAGCGTAGAAAATCCAGCCAGGTGAGAGACGTCCAGAGTGACGATCCTCCAACGTTTGGATGGATCGGTTAAATGGCTCGTTAACGGGATTCTGCAGGGCTGAATGAGCGCTGATGAGGGATTCAGCCACTGGACGGAGGAACGATGCGTCCAAAACGGACAGCAGCTCTCAGGACCGGACATTTTACATCTCACCGAATCACCGCTTCAGCTGGCAAAACTAAAACATTTAAACACTAAAAATAAAACCGAACCAAACTAAATGTCAGCCGTTTTTAGTAAAGTATAACCAAAGAATCCCTGCTTGCTGAATTCCTGGATCTTTTAAAGGAGTATTTTTTTATATAAAATCAACTTTTTTTGAGCTTTGTATCAAGGTACCTGGGTACGTACCTGGAGTGTTGTTTGGCTTGAATCTCCATGGCAACCGTTCACACACAAACCAGCTGTTTCCACAAAGCAGCAGCAGTTACCACATGAAAACGGGTGTAAACGGCATAATGAGGAGCACTGCTGGAACGAACAGGAGCTTCTTAAAGAGACAGAGCCCAATTTCAAGGTGTTAAACTTCATTTGTGTTTTTTATGACAACTGAAGGTGACGGTTAAAAAAAATAAAATAAAAGTTGGTGCTATGTGTGTAGAAAATACACAAAATAATTTAATAAAACAAAAACTGATCCAACACTTCTGGACAAACATTTTTAATTTTTTTATTTTAGCTGCTACGAACAAACAGCCTCCAGTTGGTGAAGTTTGGGCGTCACTAATCTCTATCTTTCAATTAAAACGTCGCAGAGAAAACCTGCACCATATGGCTGCTCTTTACAGTTTTCTATGTGATATTTTCTTTCACAGGAACTTAATTAGTTTGATGCTTCATGGCATTTGAAAGTCATTCATTCTGCGTCCAGCCGACGTTTCGCGCTAAATCCCCAAAACAATCCTGTTTACTTCATTCTGCACCAATCAGTCTGGTACTTTTTATTTTTTATTTCTCTCATTCGGCCTCCGACTGTCGAGGAAAATGGTTTTAGAAAGAGGTTTTAGATTTTATTTCTGTGGTAACTAATCCTCACAGTAACAACCTTAAAGAGAGAAAGCTACAAAAACATTGATTTGGACTAAATGTGGCCTTTATGAGCAGTTTCACTTATTAAATGGATTTCCCACAATGCTTTGCAGCTTTGAGTTAATTATTAGTGAGAACAATGCGAGTAAAACATGTGATGGCACAAGGGAATTTCCTCCATTAAATAACTACAAAATGAAACAAAAACTGAATCATAAAGTCATTATTTCTTATATTTCTGCATGTATCGTGGAGAAAAACAAAAACGTATTTTATTTTATTTTGACAGATTTCTAACTAGTTTTAAATAAATTCAATGTAATTTCATTTAAAGTCTGTTGCTGATTAAAACTGTTCATTTCTAAATTATTTTACTGTTCGACAATAATTCTCATAACTGTTTGCAAATTCTTGTTTTAAACATTTAAACTGGGTTGTTGAAGGCATTTTTAGGTGTTTAAATTTGCATTTTCTGTTTTTTTTTAACTATTTGATACGTTTTAATCTAATTCTCTTGGTTGTTTTGAGTATAAAATACCACTTGACCCCGTCTCTTGCTTCTCCTTAAAATAAACATGTTTTCATTTTGAAACAACCTTTTTTTAAAGTGTTGACTAAATTAAAACTCTTAAATTGTCCTTGTGTTAATCAAAGATTCAAGCGGCTCACAAATTTAGTCTTTTTTAGCCATTTTGACGACTCCCTCATGATTATTAGGCGACTAAAAGCCTAAAATGATCACTAACAAAAGAGCACAAAGTTGTTGAAGTGAACATGACGATCCGTGCGATGCTGAACTGCATCATCATCATCATCTCCTCCTCTTCCTCACCGTCTGAATGGCTAAAAATGACCGAGTGCCTGCTGCAGCACAGGTAATAGTATCCAATTTGAATTTTTCTTTCTGTTCCCTTAAAAGGTCAGCATTGTCACAAATGGTTGCAGTGACGGATTTTATTAAAGGGCCGCTCAGCAGGCGCAACAACAAACGACAGTTAAAAAGATTTGCAGGAACTTTTGTTTTTTGCAAAAACTCACTTCACAGAGGTTTATTACAGCATTATAGCATTAAAAATGCTAGCATGTTAACTTTAGATCAATATTAAGGCTAACATCAGTATTTTTAACTACCAACAATACTGATGAATATTGTTAGTATACTAATTATCCTGCTTATATTAGCCTAAGCACTATAACATTAGCTTTACATTAACTTTAGCACAACTGCATTGTCCTTAGCGTTAGTATTAGCATGTTTATGTTAGCTTTAGCACAATACTAGCATTAGCATGCTAGACATTTCTTTAGCATGATTAAATTCTGATTTGTTTTTGCTCAAATTTGTGTATTTATGTGACTGTTCATAACTACTAATACGAACACAATCAGACTTTTGTGTGAACAGGACATGAAGGAAGCTAATGAAAAGAAAGCTAAGCTAACAGCAATGTTTGTGTAGTCGGTGCTAAACGTGGCGGGATTGTGATGCGATGCAAATCAACACAGATTTCTATTTTTAAAATATTCTAATGATATTCTTCTGTTATTGTTTGAACTTACATGAAATGAAGCTTGTGACAATTTCAAAATATAAAAACATACTTTAATTTTTAACAAACATACAGCAACTTTGATTTAAAAGCATAAAAGTCGGCTCAGATCTCCAACCTACAAAGTGGCAGCCATTGTTTCATACTTTAAAGCCATCTATTTACAACAAATTTGTCTTTTCTACCAAATTAAAATGCTGAATTTACAGTTTTAAATTCCTTTTGAGGTTTTTCTTATCCAGAACTCTTAGAAAATGACAATATATTTCCTGAAAATAAAACCTGTAACATTCAATCAATTGAGTATCTCTTTCTAAAAAGAAACTGTCATAAATTTAACATCTCTTGCAAAAAATACATCTTTATTCTATATTTCTTTTCAATTTCTTAGATGTCATGAAAACCTAACAGAAGGAAATAAAATGAATAAAAAGCATAATTAATCCTCTGTGTAAAGGATTACACCTCTTACACGTCTAAACCTTATAATTACAATAAAAGCTTGACGTTTTTTTAAACACTACAATATTCTCGATTAATTAAATTTTACGCAAATTGATTCTTGCCTCTGCAGATGAATCAGAAACTCATGAGGATTCATGTATAGTTAATTAGTTTTTGGACTTGATTTATCCTTTTATTAAAAAAATATTCACATCTTTTAATATATCAACAATAAATCACAGGCGATAAAACCAAAAAACGGTTAGACAAATAGGAAACCCGGTGAGTTGATTAAAATTAATTAGAGAGAAAAGAAAAAACTTTTTTTAACCAGTTTTATGAAATCATTCAAACCAAAACCTGAAAACAGATAAAATTATTCTGATTTATTCCTGGATGACGCATTCAGCTCATACCACCATACAGAGCCCACGAATACTTCAAACCTCCTGTAAAATGCTTATACCTGCCTGTTCAGTAGTTCGAACACCAAATATACTTAATGTGCTTTAACATGCTCAGTGGAAACTGTTTTAGCACCGTTACTACTTCCTTTTTTATAAGCCAATTATAGGTGAAGAAAATAAATGCCGCTCCCTGATTGGCTGGTTTGTAAATGCTATAGCCAACAGTGTGTCAAGTAGCACTGGGACTCGACTGCATTGCCAAATATTTCTGAAATTTTCCCTGAATAATTTAGAGTTGATTTACAGAAAAGCTAACACTAATTAGCGTGTAATGTGATAGATGTAAAGTGTGTCAAAATGTGTTGATTTATACTTTGAATTCATTTTGTTTAGTAAGTTCAGTAAAGTCCATTTTGCACTGCAGGGCCCGGCCCGGCTCGGTTCGACCCGGTCCCATTGGTGCTCTGGCCCTGGTCGTTTTGCATTGAGCTGGACTCGCGGCCAGCTGAACTACCGCTGCAGCAGGCGGGATTTCCCGGCTGGAGCGACGCCTCGTTTACAGCCTAAACGACTTCTGATTGGTTCATTTGGAGAAATGTTATTTACATTTACCATTAAAACCTTTGGCTGAAGAGGCGAATGTAACCCCAGTGTAGGGTAAGAATAGATTATGACAGGAATTTATAGATGCAGCATAATGAAATGACAGCCATCGAGAAAGTCTAGTGCTTCTCTGATCCAGCGATCTGGTCTTTGTCCCGCCCCCACAGCCAGTGAACCAATCAACAGCCAACTCCAAACCGACCCGATCTGGCTGGCCTGATTGGCACCGCAGCTCTCGGGGTTCCAGGGAGCCGGGTGGTACCGGGCTGGAAGTGCTAATGCAAAAACGATCAACCCTGCTTTTAACCTGGACCGGCCCGGGTCGACCCAGGTCTGGCTGTGCAGTGCAAAAAGGACTCAAGTTATTTTCTCCAGACATTTATTGTGTTTTAAATTGTGTTACGCTGCTCTTGGCAGTTGGTGGTTACCATAGTAACCGGTAACCGACACTTCTGCCCCGTTTCTGTTGCCGTCGGTAACCGTTGTACGTTTTAGGATCAGCTCTGGGTTTTCTTTCAAGGTATATTTGAACACATATTTTAGACAAATGTAGTATTATACAGTGTTTCATAAGTAATTTTGCTGTGTTTTGTTTACGTTTTTAACTGTTAATAATGTTGTACATTTTAGCTATGTTTAATTTTACACATGCTAACTGCTGCTAACAGCTGCTAGCTGCTTATTGGGCGCTATTGCCATGTAGTTTGTTTAATATTATTGTACACATAGGTTCAATACACAGGGAAGACAAGATTTTAGCTAAAAAAAAACATTTGTGGTAGCGTATTCCACATTTTGTGGAGTTTTGACAAAGTTTTGCATACATTTGTAACGGAAACGCAGCTACTGCCTCATGTTATTTATATTCTCCCATATTTAAGAACAAGAAATTACATTTTAATGCTCTATTCGTTCTCCCTAGTGAGCAAATCAATACTAGCTGGGAAAAAAAAAGTATTTTCTTTGTTTCAGTGCATATTGCTGAATCTCACAGCATGAGAGTTTGTCTAAATCCTACTAGATGATTCATCCACAGTTAGCAAAATAAACAAAAGGATTTGTAATCTTTGTGGTAAATGCTAAGCATAATTAGATAAAATGTGAATTTCTGTGCTAAAAAAGACCAAACCTGCCAAAAAAAGCTCTCGTCTTTGGTCATCTTTTATCCACTCTTGGAATAAAATTAAATAAAAAAAGAATGAGGTTGATCACAGAAGAGCTCACTTTCTCCAGCGTGAGCTTTTGTCACCCGGAGCGCCAGGTGAGATGAGGCGAGCGGCGGCGCTGTCAGAACAGCACGGCGTCTGGTTCTGGCTCAGCAGAGCGCCTGCTTTGATGCCCCGGCAGCGACGCGAACGCTGGGGAACGTTTCTGTGCTTTCTCGCAGCGCGGCATGCTGGGACGGCTCCGGTTGGCAGCAGGCTTCTGTGGGTTCGGTGGTGGGAGAATGCCTGCAGGTACAAAAGGAAAAGAAGAAGTTGTGAAATTACAAGCTGTGAATTTTTTTTTTTTTACCTCAGCTGGTATTTGATGTATAAATTTCATCTCCTTGATGGTGAACATCCATGTGTGAGAAACAGTCACAGTTTAAGGGCTGGATATTAAAAACGGACTTATCCAAGAGAGACCTGACCTTTCTCTAAATTTGTTCAAGGATATATATTTACAAATGTCACCCAGGCAGAAGAAAGTTTTGTAGAAATTAGTTTTTTAAATGTTGGCTTCCGTCACAATCCAAAGCTACTTCAATAAGACAAATGGTGAAAGTTAAAGAACATATTAGAGCCATTGTTATTGGTTAAGAATATTACTTTTATTACAGCTGTGGTTTAAACAGGAATTTGCCCTTAAAGAGACAGAATTTCTATGCTTGTAACTGCATTTTTTTTTACCCTGTTATGAAATTCTCACTACATCATACAGGTCTTGATGTTTTGCTTCATTTTTTTAATTTCATATATTTCACATTTTTTGGTTGCCATTTCAAAATGTGTAAAAATTAAACATAGCACCAGGTAAAATATTTAATACGTCATGCTCAAAACTTCAAAAGGCCAACATAAATCCAAATACACCACCTAAAATGTACTTTTTCTATATTTTTATCATTTTGGACTTATTTTTGCAACATAATTTATATTCTTTTCCATACTCATGACCTGATCAATCAATCTAAATGTCAATATTTCATTCTGAATTTACTGTAGATATTTCACTGGAGGTGAGGCTTTAAATATAAAACTACAAAAATGAGTAAAATTAAATAACAGCATGTGATAATGTAAATTTGCTGCATAATACAAAAATACAAAATAAGAAAGATTAATATTATAAAGTACACAGTTTAGGTGACAACAGTGAAACAGAGCTACTATGTGGATAAGTATAAAAATCTACTAACTAATCTATTAAGCAGATAATTTGGGTAATTTTGCTTTAAAACATTAATTTACAATCTAGAAAATTAAAATTCTCACCATCTTCTTCTCCAGGCCGTGAGCAGACGTCACCAGCATCCCATTCATAATTCTCATCTACCGAACACTGCCTCCTAAAGAGGAACAAAAACATTAGCCGCAGGCGCTAGTGTTAGCATGCTTTACTTTTTTTACATTAGTTTTTGGTTGGGAATTAGTATTAGTGAACTCTTGAAAGATTTAGCATGATAGCCCTAGTATAAGCTTGCTAACAATCGCTTCATTGGCATTAGTATGCTGGTGTTTACCTTAGCATAATAAATTGGAAGACAATTCTTTAGCATGACTAAATGTGCATTGTATACTAATTATTCTGCTTATATTAGAATAATTGCTAATGTTAGCATTATAAATGCTAACTTTAGCACAATTATCTTTAGCATGTTTATGTTAGCTTTAGTATTGTCACTATTATAGGAGTGACTTATTTAATTGCAGTATTTAACAAAATTTGTATATACTGCCATGCTAAAGCTGTTATATCCATCATATTTCATGCTAATTTTAGCTTTAGCATGATAAAATTGACATTTTGTTACCTCTATCAAACCAACACCAGGAGGCAAAATTTAACAAGCAAAAAAAAAAAAAAAAACATTTTTCTAAGCAGGATGTATTAACTTTAGTACGTATTATTAGGTTGCCTAGAATACGTCCTAAAGGCACTTTAGCATAATAGCTTTTACATCAGCATGCTAAGCTTACTATTTGCATGTAAAGCCTCTATGCACAACCTTTTCTGAATTATATTCTGAAATGTGCTTTGTTCTATTCAGTTACCAGTTATTGACATTTCAGACATTTGATGAGTAATGGGCTCACATTGATAGTGACCATAAAGGATTATATAAAATCCCTGACATCGTCTTCAACTAAACCAAAATTCAGTAAGTCGGTGTGACTCATCACCTTCGTTTTGCTTCTGTTTGTCCACCTTCCTTGTGCTCTGATCCCCCCTGAGAGTCCTCTGCAGTCACAGGTGAGTCTGTCAGCGTTGGGGACAGGTGAGACAAGGGCATATGCCCATTAGCAGTCTCCATGCTGCCGCGGCCGCTGCTAGCGTAGCTGCTGTAGCTGCCACCAGAGTCTGCCACTTCCTCGTAGCCTCCCGAGTCCACCTCCACTGCCTCCAAGTCGTTGCTGATGGGCGGCAAGTATGTGGAAACCTCCTTCAGGCTGACAATATAACCCGATTCCTTCATTGTGTCCTGATTGGGAGTTGGATGATTGGCAGTGTCAGCTGAGGGGCTAGGTTGGCGGTAATGGGGCACATCAGGATTTGGACTGCGAGTTGGACCCGCAGCAGTTGAGAACTGTTGCTCAGTTTTGGTACTTGTATGAGACAATTCAACCGAACAGTCCTCTTGGCTGAGTGACTCTACCCATGCGGATGGTGTGAGAAAGGTACTCTTCTTCTGTCTCCTCAAGTCCAGACTCTGACTTCTCTGACTGCGGTCCAAGGTTTTGGAACCTCGGGTCCTAGCTCTCCAGTGTTCTGGTCCTGAGGTTTGCTGACCGTGATGGGCCATGTCAAAGCTGCTGACAGAAGCATTCCTGCTGCAATTGAAGCTTGTGCTTCTTCTCATGTCTTCATGCCTGCTTCTCTGAGACAGCGAGCAGCCATGTTGAACATGAGAGGCAATCCTGTGGTGTAACATGGGCTTCGCAGGTTGCAACGTGGGCAACTCGTACTCCGGCTCGTCTACGCTCATCTCGACATACGACTCTTTGCCAACTGAACCAAATGGTTCACTGAGCATTTCGTCCAATCTTGTAGAGTCTCTTACTGTATCTGGAGTGTTTCTGTTGCTGTGAAACATTGTGCCATTACTGAGAATGTTTTCTTTTTGTGGATTGTGGAATGAGTGACTTATTTGGGGGTCAAAGGATGAGAATCGTCTTGGACTATCGTAGCCTTGTGATGGATCTACTCGACACCTCTGGTGAGGGAGAGTTGAGGTGTCAACAAAAGAGTGGCGGACACCATTGGGTTTCTTATTAAATGACTCAAGAAAATAGGGAGAAAAAGAAGGAATGGAAGGGGGAGATGTATTCAAATGATCTCTGATTGGATTCAAAGTTGAACTTGAGTCATAAGGATGGGCTTCCCAGTTGATTGAGGACGATGTAAGGTATCTAGATCTCTCCTTACCAACGTGACGATAAATGTTTGGCAAGGTCCTGCTTTTGTATTCCCACATAAGACTCTCAACACTTTCGTCCCCATTGCTTGTTTCTCTTTGCTCTGTCTTGACTGTCATGGAGTTTCTATCTAGTGTGTACAACCGAAGCTCCCTTTCCATTTCTTCTCTCTCCTGTGCCAGCCTCAGACACCGACTAAGGTTCCCTTTCTCACGTTCATGTTCCATTTGGAGAACCAAGCTGCTCGCTGTTGTTGAAGGCTGACCGATGCTGGCTCGGAGATGTGGGAGGACGGGAAATACTGGAGGCAGTCCAGTATTTCTGCTGAGACAAGGCATGGTGCAAAAACTGGTGTTTGAGTACAAGCTGTTCTGATCAGGCGAAACAATGTAGTTTTCCTGAAGTGGCGGGAGTTGACCCAAGCTGCGCATTTGACTTGAATCACCCTCCAGTTTAAACGGAGGAACGTCAACAGAAAGCACACACGGCAGGTCTTTCTTGTCCTCCTTTTCCAAGTGGAGTGACACAGATCTTTTGGCTCTGGAAATTGTTCTGCTGTTAACACTTAATGTGTCATAGTCACCGACTGCAAACCGGCCATCTGGACCTCTAGAGATCAACTCAATGGAGGGAGAAATTAAAGAAGTTGTCTTGGTAAGGCGGCCTCTGCTGTAGGTTGGCTCTAGAGTCCTGCGCCTATTCTCTGTGCTCAAATTGGAGCAGTCCGTCTGAGAGGAGGAAGTGGTAGAAGAGATTGTGGGGTAGTGGGAGCTGGCTGGGAGGAGGCTTTTCTTCAACAGACTGTCTGGACTACTGGAGCCTGAAGTCTTACTGTGAGAGTGAGGGGAAAGATGGGGAAGGGCAGAGGAGAGAGATTTGTAAGTGGAAGAAAAACTGACTGCATTTAAGCTCAGCCAGGAGCTTGGATAGATCATTGCGAGGGAGATAAGAAGATGAAACAGAAACCTGTTGGCATTTTCAGCACATACAAAGGAAGGAAAAGGGAAAGGTTACTGTCTAATATTGCAGTGGAGTGATAAAGGGGTACTCACATTGATGGGGAGCACTTATAGATGGCAGGAAGGGGTTCTGAAAGGGAGGGATGAGGTGTAAGATGGTGCACGACTTTCTGACCAGGAAGTGAAAACCAACCAACCCCATCAAGAGCCCATTAGAAGGATCCATGATTAGTTTTAACAGTAGACTTTATTTGAGAAATATTTTAGTTGTAAGAATACAGTAATAATACTGTAGGTTATTTAGTTTTTAGAAATGTTAATAAAATATTGTCACAGGAACATGTTGTTCACGCTGCAATGCATGATGTCTCACTGCCTGGCTGGGTCCAGCCAAAACAGCATGAGTAATGTCTTTTCAATTTGAACTGGAGTGCGTTGAAATCGATGGGAATGTAAAAATCACAAGAGGTGATGAAGATGAGGAGAACCAAACAGAGGAAGAGGGACAGAGTTGGCCGTAGCAGCTGGTGTTTACTGCTGCTGCCTTCAGCTTTGTAAATGAAACAATGAGTGACACGTACTTCAGGTTTGACTGTGTGATCCAGTAAGTACTGCTATAGCTCTGTGTCTGGTCTGAACGTAACGGGGCGCCAGTAGTGCCCCGTTATGCCCCGCTACTGGCACAGAGCTCTGTTAGCACTTAAAAGAGCTTCCAGTGCCGAGTTTTGCTCGTACAAATGACTCCAAGTCTTCTGGAGAAAAATGTTGAGGGCACAAATGTACATCTTTGGAAGTTGTGTTCTGCTCCAGCTCTCTCCTACTGTTCTCTTCTTGTTTGTCATGTGGGAAATTATCCAGATTCACCTCACTGTTTTCTTTTTAAATTACAGCCAAAAGTGACACCATGTGGCTTCATCTAAAATTACACCTATCAAATATAATATGAACAGGTAAAGTTAGCCTTTCTGTGTTTACTCTGTAGATTCCAGTACAGATTGGACCATTATGCATCATCAACCCAGCAGGTGTAAAAATGGCGACCTCCATGGGTGAAAAATCTAACAAAAGATGTAAATGTTTTTGAAGTAATTATGAGTTTTGGTGTACCACAAACACCAATGTTTTAGTTAATAGAAAAATTACAACGTATTTAGGCCAACATGTTAAACTAATCTTGGATCCCTTTGATGACTCAAGGCAACTAGGCTAGCTAAAGTTAATTACCCTTTAATTTATCACTGCCTATTGAGAAATTACACAAATCAGTAAGCAATATGAACAACATCCATAATTTTTACAACTGGATGGATGAGGAAGGGTAATTTATTTCACAGATATGAAGTGGCTCGATATTTTACTGAATAAATGATCACATTCAACATGCGGTTCATTAAAATGTGCCGAGTCTTCACTGGAGGATGGATACGTACCGTTCTCCGTCTTCCTGCGGCGACGGTCCCTCCTGCGGCTGACCAAGCAGGCAGAACCGAGCAACAAGACCAGCGCCAGAAACATGAAGCCGATCCCGGCTAGCACACCGGCTAGCAACGGCTCCGGGACAAACGTAGACGTAGCCGCGAAGCTCTCCGTCACTGAGAACAAACAAATAAGTGACTGTAAGTTTAGCCACAAGTAGGAAAATAAATGACTAAATTCCAAGTGACAGCATTTAAGTCACAAAACTCAGTACAACTACAACTTTTACTACTGCTACCGTTACTGTTATTGCTACTGCTACTATTACTACTACTATTATTATTATTACGTAGATTTTCTTGTCTTGGGAGTTATTTTGTGATAATTTTGTCTATGTAATGTAATTTTTTTGTTGGCTGTTTCGCCCAGTATATTGTACAAGCACATGAATATTTTAACATGGTTTTAATTACAAATTTTTGATAATTATTGAGTGATATATTTCATTAAATTGTGATAAGAGGTAAGGCTAAATTAGTGTTAATTTCTTTTTGCTCCTTTTCAAACAGAAAAGTAGTTTTAAGCTAATTATTTTGTTCCTAGTTATGTATTCATATGTTTTCTCTCCTTGTTTTTAAAAAACAGTTTGAAATAAATAAATCAATAAACTCAAATTAGGAAGTTTTAAACCATTTGTTCAAACTAAATGCTGATTAGTCAACTTGATCTTTTGCCAATTTATTTTGAAACATTTCTTTGTATCGTTTTGTGAGCCCAGTTTTGAGAAAGAGTCCATCTTATTTAATTTTTATGTCTCCCTCTTAATAATTATTCTCATTGTTGTCTTTCTACAATCCTGAAAGCTGAAATCTTGGTAGTCTGGTTTCCTAATGGAGTCTGATCATCATAATCAAACCTTGAACATGTTTGTTTTGCAGCCAGATGACTGAAGCTCAGCACAGCTGTTTAAACAAAAGCAGATTTGAGTTGAGGCTGATTGACTCTTACGTCTGATTTAACATTCACGTCACACACAAATAAAAGTCGAACAAGAAGAAAAAAAAATTAGTGTAGCTATTTCTGTGGGCCGGGCTCGAAATGGGCATCGTTCCCAGGGGTCTCGCTCTGATTCCTCTCGCTGAGGAGCGACGGCGTCACTTTGAAGAGGAGAGGCTGCTTTCTCTCTCAAACTCCTACCTGCGGTGGAGACGTTGACTGATGGACCGGGCTCGCTCAGCAGCTCCCCCCGACGAGAAAGCATCCGCAGCTCGTACACACGGTCCTGAAACCACACACACACACATATACACACACAGGGAAGATGAAGCCACACTTTGTCAACACACGGCGCTGTCTGCAATGCTAATGAAGTTCATTTGAATTCATGTAGACCCGTACAGGAGAGGGAAGGGGGAGATGAGGCAGGCACAGGGAGGGAATAAAAAAATAAAAGATGGAAGTGATGACTGTCATGTCGTCTACTAACTGAAACCACTGCAGCACAGACGGAACCAGAGGGCAGAGCGACCGGCTCTTTACCTTCTGCAGACCCCTGACCAGGAAGTGGCTGCTGCTGGCGTTGATGTTCTCCTCCAGATTAAACCAGTCCTCTGCTGCGGCGGCGGCGGCAGAGCGGGACTGGAGGACGAAGCCTGTGATGGGCGGCTGCTGGGCGTCAGGGAGGGCCCACTGCAGGATGACACCTGCTGAGCTCTGATTAGCTGACAGCGAGGCGGGGGGCTTCGGTCTGACGCTCCTCTCTGGAGAATCTAATGCGGGGAGAATCAGAGACTTTCAGTCAATCAGAGGGAAGAAATTAAATCAAAGCAGAACCCCGAGTGTTCGGGACGAAGGAGGAAGAGAAGCTAACGTTAGCTCCACTGAGGAGAAAATAATTAAAGAGGCAGTATTACATGAAATCCACTTTACATCACGTTAAATATTATTTCCTGGAGTGTTGCTTTGATCTCCATGGCAACCATTCAGCTGAAAACGCCTGGGTGGAGCTTGAGTAACTTCATGGCAGCTACTTTTTACTTTTACTTGAGTACAACTACCAGTATTTGCATAAAAAAGTTTTTTTTTTGTTTTTTTTTCTGCTGAAAGTCAGACTCTCTTTGGCATTTCTGCCAGTAGTAACATCCAGCTGTTGGTCATGTGATGCGAAAAAAGTGTTTCAACTGCAGTTTTGTGAAATATATCCACTTCTAAACCACCTCATCCTAAAGATTTCTTCAGAACTGGCAAATTTATTTTCCTGCTTTCAATTTTATGGCTTTTAAGCTACTGAGAGAAGCAGGTTGTGTGTAAATATTTGGTTTTGGCTAAGTAGAGACAAAAAAAATAGAGCAAACCAGAAAAACTGGACTGACCCAAAGTGCGTGCAATTACGATCTCGCTGAAAGGCCCTGTGCCAAACTTATTCTGAGACAAGACGCTGAACTGGTAGTCGGTGGCGGGAGAAAGGCCCGAAACCTGCAGGCTGGTACCGGATGAGGAGGGAACGGGTACGGAGAACCATTCCTGCCTTCCGTCGCCACCGCTCGCCGAAATCCTCTTCACCCTGCAGAGCCGGAGAGACCGAGAGAGGAGGAGGAGGAGTGAGAACAAAACAGCAGCAGGGGTTTCTGGGAGTCTGGCTGTATGAAACATGACAGGAAAGTAGGTTTCATTAATCATTCATGCTCATCATCTGCTCGGGATTTCACGGCAGAGACAAGCTCTGATGGATCGCCGATATTGCACAGAGCGCACGCAACTCTAATTAGGTGTGATTTTTATCTTTCTACCAGAGATGAAGCTTTTATCTGACCTTCAGGGCTTTAAGAGGAAAAAATAATCATTAACCTATTCAGAACGACAGGAAAATATTCCGGTCAGTCTGAAAATAAAAGACGAGAGCTTTGATGCAAGTGAAGTGAAGTGGTTCGATTTTTTAAGAAAACTTAATGGAAAAGGTGATTTTTTACTATCAGTTATCTGACCCTTCTCCACCTTTTTAAGACGTGTGAAAAGTGAAACCATCTGTCAGGGAACAATACGATCCTTTTAAAGACAAAGTTTAACTGGAAGGAAATACAAAAACAAGCGGCCATGAACTCTGTCCATGTCAGGTGGCATAAACAAAACATAAAAGGAAAAACTGGATCAGATTCAATGTGAAAATGAGTCTGAGCTCAACAAAACACATCTGCTGATTGTTTTCTGTTAAATAAGAGCAAATATGTGTCAAAACATTCAGAAACAGTGTCTCCAGTCAGAGGCTTCTTCAGACTGGCTGTAATACGGACTGCTACAGGAGAATCTACAGCAACTCTTGAGAAATTTGTGAGGCAACTTAATTTATCTTAATAATATTACATTTTAAGGATTTAAAAATGTGAATAAATTCTGGCACAACCGGCCCTTTAAGACCATCCATGATCTGGATTGGCACAAAACAAAAATGAGTTTTATTCCTGTTCTGGTTGAGTGAAGTTTGTCTGGATCCATTTCTGCTTCCATTCTGTCACATAAAACCCCAAATAAACTCCCTGAAGGTCGCGGCTGGATGATAAAAACTCTGACTCACAAAAGAAACAAGCTTATTACGTCGGCTTTTATCAGCCGTTCTCTATCGTCGCTCTCGGGGCCGAAGCATCGTAAAGCTACACTCCACTCCGCCAGGAGGTGATGGCAGATAAATGAATTCCTCATCCCGGAGATCAATAGAGCAATACTGGGGCTGTCGATGGTCGCCATGGTTACGGCCCGAGAGGAGAGCAGGCGGCTTTACACCCACCAGACTGAAAACGTCTGTGCTGATCCCCCGTCGAAGCCGGCCTCCCAGGACAGGTTGGCCCGGCTCGGCCCAGGAGAGACGGCCAGCGCGGCGGCAGCGTGGGGACTGGTTCCTGCAGCGAGAGCAGAGGAGAGGAGTTGGTGGAAACCAGCCAGCGCTCCAGATACCCGACGGAGCAGAAGGTCAGAGGTGCAGCTACTGAAGTTCTGCATTTATACATCGGAGGCGGAGCGGAGCGGAGGCGCCGGCTGGTACAGGTGGACCGAGAAGATTTTAGGACAGAAAACTGCTCATGTAATCATGATACACCATCTCAAAAAAGAAGATAGCTGCTAAAAAAAAAGATGAACGTTTAGAGCGCTGGATGCAAATATCCTCATAGAAAGTTTAGTGGAAAGAAAAAATGTGGTGGTAGAAGATCAAGCGATTATGATATACGATGTCAAAAAATACTTAAAAAAGACAAAAAAAGAAGACTGCTGCAATGCCACTCCCCCTGGTGGCCGGTCAGAGCGCTGGATGCAAATATACTCATAGAAAGTTTAGTGGAAAGAAAAAAGGTTGTAGTAGATCAAGTGAGCATGATATGCCATGTCAAAAAAATACTTAAAAAAGACCAAAGAAGAAGACTACAGCACTGCCACTCCCTCTGGTGGCCGGTCTGAGCATTGCATGCAAATATACTCATGGAAAGTTTAGTGGAAGGAAAAAATATGGTAACATGTGATCATGACACACCATCTCAAAAAAATAAAAAAAATAGAAAAAAAGAAAAAATTATTTTTTTAGCATTTATTTTTAGGGAGGAGAGTGCTGCTAAAATAGATAACTGTTCAGAGTGCTGGATGCAAATATACTCATGGAAAGTTTAGTTGAAGGAAAAAATATGGTAGCATATCATGTGATCATGACACACCATCTCAAAATAAATACTAAAAAATAGTATTTTTTTTTAGTATTTTCTTTTTTGGCGGGGAGACTGCTGCTAAAAAAGATAAACGTTCAGAGTGCTGGATGCAAATATACTCATGGAAAGTTTAGTGGAAGGAAAAAGTGCACAGAAGTCATGTGAGAATTGTTTAGCAAATATATTAGTTTATTTAAGAGGGGGTAAATGAAGAGTTGTTACATGGGCCTTAGCCATTTTTTCCCCTGCTTCACTTTTGCCTTCCACCAAACTTTCCATCAGAATACTTGCATACTGCGTTTTGAACATCCAGCTTCATTACCAGAGATCATGTGTGCTGATTTTTGTCATGCTAGCATGTTTGCTGTTTATTTTACTGATCACCTGCTGGACATGTCGGACTCACCCAGGACAAAGACTCGTGTGCGGGTCTCTATGGATGCAGCGCGGTTGGAGACGCTGCACTCCCACTCCCCCTGGTGGTCCTTCAGAAGAGGCTGCAGCAGCAAGGAGCCGTTGGGTTCAATGGAGTAAGAAACAGAACGAACCGGGTCAACCTAAAAAAAAAAAACAGTACACTTATTTACACAGAACAGACATCTGAAAATACTTTCAGTTTTCACAAAATTAAGAGTCTTTTACTTTCACTTGACAATTTTCTGCAACTTTATGATGATTTATTACCTAAAATCCCAGAAAAACACAAATGTTGGTGGTAGTGATCTGACAAAATGTGTTAAAGGAATGAATGAGATACCAGAGATGATCTCTCAGTTATAGCAAGCAGAATAAAACGAGATAAAACTGATAAAACAATTTTAGAATATTTTCATACGTTCCCTGCAGTCGAGATGTTCAGGACAACCCAACTTTAGATAATTACGTGTGAACTATATGGGTCAACTTAGTCCAGAGTAAATCAGAGTTAAAGTAACTTTTTCCAGACTGGTTTCTTTCTAAATCCCTGCAGAGGAAAAACAGTCATGCCTCCCCTCGTCATCCCTTTGGATGGTGTTTCTCTGCTCTCTTCTTGGAGGTAGTCCGGCCTTTATCCCGATAATGTGGCTTCTATCCAGGTGAAATGGACGGTGTGGATAATAGATCACAGGGGATTGTGTGAAATCCGTTGGGCTTTGACTGGATCGCCAAAGGCGAGTGTGTGAAATGACTGAGCTGCGTCTTACTGTAGGGAACATTTCATCTCCAACACTCCAAACCTCCTCGTCTTTTCCTTGGCCGCAGCAGAGAAACTCTGGGAGGATTTAGAAACCAGTTTATAAAACCTTCAACGAAGCTTTGGAGAGACGAGGAGACAACGATTCAGACAAATGATATTTAAACACACAACGCCGAAATGTTACTGATCTAAGAGCTACATCGGATGTAACGACTGAATGGATGACTGTGAAGCGGTCAGCTATTCTAAGTCTTCTGGTTCTTCCGGACTGCCTCCAGTAAAATCCGGCCCGTTCCCTCCAGGTCCAGGTCGCTCTCTGCTTCAGGTCGAAGTGTCAGAACGTGACGTTGGCATGAAGCGGGAGTCGGGCCTACAGATTAGGATTGGGCTGCAGTAATTCAGGCGCTGCTCTGGTCCGTTGTGGTGAAGAGCGACCAGAGTCCAAAAGCAAAGCTCCTGATGTACCGATCCGGTTCTGACCGTCACATGCGGCCATGGAGTTTGGATCCTGGTAATCTCTGGTACTGCCAGAGATACTGCTGTCATTACTATTCTTAATAACCTTTTCTGTGGATAATCAGCAACAGCCTATCAATATGGCCGCCAGGGAAGAGTTGGTCTCACAATGCCAGCCCAAGCATTTCCCGCCCAATTCAAGGCTTTAATTGTCCGTTCTTAGGCTTTCGGTAACATTTCTTAGACGTTTCTTTGTTTCATAGAGAGACAAGCAGCACTGGTTAAAGAAAAAATGTAAGTTTTCATTTGGAGTATTTCTATTTGTCAGGTTTACCTTGCTCCAGGTGGCTGCTGCGGCTGCGTTTCCTTGACAGGGGATGAGCAGCGTCCTGCCAGCGTCCCGCCTGTATTCCTGGGCTGGAGTGATGCTGAAAGACGGGGGGTCCTGCCAAGCGCCAAAGCAGAAAGCTGAATCAAGGACATCGCAGCAAAGCAAAACAAGGGATTTCCAGACTGGATTACCGCCGCCTTGGACTAGATTATCTTAATAACAAGAGGATTAGCCACACAATTAACTCCCCTGCTAAGCGACATCGTTGTAGTCGGTCCAAGTTGACTTCTATTAATGTGGGAGGGTCTCAAAAGGTCGGCGGGAAAAGGTCAAGGAAATGTTTCTTTCTTAATACACAGTGAGAAAAATCATCATGCTGGATTTGAATAGAGATTTAATGTCAAATAAGTTTAAAAACACATAAATTCAAACCAAACATTTTTATTCAAATACAAAGATGGTAAACAGTAGCAATTATACACATTTTTATGCAAATAAAACTCATTATGTCCATATTTCCTCTAGTTACCATAGCAACTAATTAGCATAAACTACCACAACATGGCCGCCCAACTATAAACACAGAACTGATCGGAGGAAGCAGCAGAGAGACCCAAAGTTACTCTGGAGGAGCTGCAATGAAACTTTTCATGCGTTAGAATGGCCTAGTTAAAGGCCAGCCAGTACTTTAGGTAGGAAAATGTTTTCTTTACTTCACAATTTTACACAAGTTTGTGTTGGTCAGTCGATTTCAGTCCAAATAAAATATATTACAGTTTGAGGTTATGACGTAACATGTCATCGTAACCTCAGAGTTTATGGCAGCAATATTTTAATATTTTAATATTTCATCACAGAGAAAGAGAAGTAAATCAATAAATGTGAACAGTTTGATGAAGGTGCGGCCAAATGATGAGCAAATACAAAACGAGACAGATTAATGACATCTCCATTAGCGTTTTTCACAAACTGATCAGCGTTAAAGGTAACTTTTCAGCAAGAAATATGAGCTTTTTTAAGTCAATAATGGGTTAATTCTGATAAAAAGAACCCTTGGTAAAATTTGTTATTTTTGCAGGATTTATTAAATTAATTGCTGGTGAAATGAGCTTTGGCTCTCGTTAAGCGTGACCTTTCAGCAGGTGACCCACGTGTTCGTACCGACCTGCAGAACCACCCTGATGGGTCCAGACGGCCCCATGGTGCCGTAGCTGTTGTATGGCGTACAGCTGTAGCTGCCCGCTGCGTCCTCATTGACAGTCGCCATCGCCAAAGAGCCGTCGGCTTTCAGAGTCCATCCTGGATACTGGAGGAAAGGCGCACAACTTAACTTTGTTTTTCTTTAGTCCTGTCTCCACATTTCAGGCGTAACATCTACAGCATCTAAATTATCTAGAGCATTTTCGTTTTGGGCCAAATCAAGATCACGGATACTCTTAAAGGGCTGGAATGCATTGATAAAAACTGTTAAAATATTAATGAATTCTTAAAATTAAATATTATTGAACATCTTTTTAGTCCCTCCAGGATTTCATGATTCTTTTTGTGATTTTCTGCAATAAAAGTCAAAGTATTAGTGGTTAATTTGGAAATATTTGCGCTCATTTCTGATGGTAAATGCAACTTTTTATTATTTGCTATGTAGATCATGGACTATTATAATCAGATATCAATTAAAGATGAGGCAGCTATTTAGTAAGAAAGCTTTTGACAATTTTTGAGAAGAATCTGCAATAAACTCTCACTTCTTAGTGTGGGAATTTGTTGATTTTCAGTGAATTTCTATGATAATTATCAAGAAACTAGAGAAATTTATATAATTTGGCAGTAAACAGATAAAACTGCATTGATTTGATTGATAACATGATATTTAAGCACATTTAGTCTAGAATCTAGAGGACCACATAAAACGCTGTGGTGGACCAGATTTGGCCCACGGACCTTCAGTTTGACACATGTAACATAGAGAAACTGGTTGCCTATATGTGTCGTTGCAAAAAAAGCCAAACTGAAATAATGGTAATCTGTTCAATCTTCTTCAATCATTTAGATTGTGTGTGTTTGTGTCTAATTTAATATTCAAATTTATCCATTGTCATCAAAATTAACTGACAGAAATGCTTAATGCATCCATCTTTGTCCAGTTGGCCAATATAATGTACAAGTTTCCCTTTTTCAGCTGAATTACTTCATAAATGTGTTTTTACTTGCATTATAATTCATGCACATTCACCTGAATGTATGGGAAAAGCAAAAATGTGAGAAACTACGAAGGTGTTTGACCTTCTGAGAGGAGATTTCTGTCACTAAGCTATGGCACGTTTTCTTTTTCTCCTATGTTATGCCTTTTTATCCATCTGGCATTGACGAAAAGAAACATTATCTCCAATAAAAATTACATAAAACATAAATACATATATACTTTCTGGCTATTTCAATCAAACGAAGCACAAATGTTCTTTTCAGGTTTCATGATCAGTTTTTGAGGAACAGAATTAAAAGCACTCAAAGTAATTTTTTTCCATTATGCCTTTAGTGAAAAGCTTTCGCTGTGTTCAAAAAGTTCTCCACTCGGCTTAATGAAGCCAAAAGTGCCATTATTCTCCGCGGATTGAAGCCGTAAGTATCGCTGCGGCTGGTGAAAACCACGGCAGGACGGGAATAATTGGCAGAATAACAGCCCGACTCCAGGCCTCTGCTCCAATCTCCTGCAGTGCGTCTCATCCGCTGACGCATCCATCACACCCAGTGTCAAAAACACAGATGGGAGGAAAACCTGGAGGCTTTACAAGAGAAAACAAAGTTTAACTTTTACCTTAAGAGAAAGAAACCAATAAGAGGAAAAGCGGTTTTCCAATCAGGAGAAGTAAAAGGTAAGTGAAGGGAAATCCTAATCTGTAATGGGTCCTCCACTCATTCCTCCCATGAAGGGGGAAAAAGATCGAAGGGAAAGTCGGGGAGGTGAGGAATTCCTGAGGGATTGCTTCCAGAGCTTTTAAGACTGGACACATTACCCATATCCATTAAAATGCACGTGATTGAATGGCCTTCCACTGCAAAGCCGGCAGGAAATTTCCATCATGAGCAGAGGGAATGTCAGAGAGGATGTCCTTCCCTTACATATATATTTATACACAGCTGAGCCCAGAACTGTTCATATCTCTGGCAGATTTATGTTTAAAGTTCTATTTTTATATAATATAAACACTTTGGAGCGGCCCAGACAGATTCACGAATTAAATCTGAATTGGCAAAGGGAATAAAAGATTAGAGGAGTGGCAAATCAAGACATCCTCTGCAAAAAAATCAGATCACAACTTTGTTTTTCTGTGATCAGAAGATAAACTCCTTGTTCAGAGAGAACCTGTACAAAAAAGAACAGCTGGAGAAGCTCTACAGGCTTTTTTAAGGTTACTGATCGGATTGCTCTTTGCCAGCCACATGGAGAGGACATAAATGTCATGAGTGAGTATGTAGCCAAATATATAAACTTCTGTGTAGACAGCATCATAACCCATAAAATCAGGAAAATTATGAACGAGGCTGTCATAGAACCAAACAAATTGAAAAAGCTGTTCCCCTCCTCACCTGTGGTGGCGCTACACCAAGAACTACTGAAGGAACGACATGAAAAGACATCAAAAGAAGAAAACATGGCTGATGTGAATGAACGCTAAATAAATTAATATTTTTATTGATAATCCTTTTACATAGTTTTATTATCTGGAGTATTGCTCATCTTTCTATCAGAAACAAACTTCTTGCCTGAGTAAAAATCACTGCCAGAGTAAAACCTCTCAGAATAGAGTTTACATAGTTTTATTTCTGCAGTTTTGAGTTTATGAGAATAACAGACAGGATGCATCGTGATGCGTTTTTACACTCTTTTAGCCTACTTCATGAGGTCAGACAGGTTCTAAGTAAGTAGGAGTGAAGTTTTATAACAGATAAAATCATCATTAAAAGTGGATTTTTATCACTTTTAATAAAAAAGTGAATTTTGTTTTGATGATCTGAGACATTTAAGTGCAACAGAAAAAGCAAAAACAGGCACAAAAAAAAAAAATCTCTGACAAAAGAGTTTTTACAGCCTTGTAGGGGATCTGATTGCTGCTACTTTCCTCCCAACTCCCATTGAAAAAGCAAGGCTGTTTACTCTTTTTCCTCACACACACATGCACGCACACGCACACACACGCACACGCACACGCGCACACACACACGCACGCCTTCCCAGCCTGAAGCAGACACGTCAATAACTTCATTTCTGCAAATCCTTCAAAACATCTACTGGAGCGTAAAATCCAGCTCTGCTGAGGGAAAATGAATAGATTCAGCTACTTTACCTGGAACCACCATCACTTAAACTGCTGTTGACAACATAATGATGCACAGAAATTTGCTTATTTCTGAAAGTGAGCGCCGCTCACTAATGGTGAGATTACTGTTCATTACCAGAGACAGATCCAGAGGCTGTCCGTCTTTCATCCAATCCACACGGAGCAGCGGAGGCTGAGCTGCCGCCGGGCATCGGATCCCGCCGCCCATACCTGTGGGAAGGTATGTCTCCTCGGGCATTTGGAGCGCCTTGGCTGGGTCTGAGTGGAGTTAAAACACAAATCTGAGTTATTAAACTCTTAAGCTACGTCATGCCTCAGTATCCTGAAAATGTTTCAACATTTCTACCAAAGAAAACGAGATATTAGACTTGTTTTACACAAAATGTCAAGGATTTAATTATCTCCAAATCAAAGGTTTCCTCTGGGGAAAAAATCAGATCACAACTTTGTTTTTCTATGCTCAGAAGACAAACTCCTTGTTCAGAGAGAACCTGTACAAAAAGAACTGCTGAAGAAGCCCTACATTTGAGGCAACAGATCGGGTTGCTCTTTGCCAGCCACATGGAGACGCCATGAGTGAGTCTGCAACCAGCTACATAAAGGACTTCACATAAAATCAAAAACATTATGAAACACACAGTCATCACTATCTGCCATAACGTTTTGAAGAATCTGGAGTTGAAACAAAATTCCCTTTGGGGTCAATAATGCAATTTTAAAAGCAGCCTGCTGTTTTTGTGCAGAGAGAATCTGCAGACTAAAACTAGTTCGTTCTGACATCCAGCTGAGCTGAGGATGATGTATTTTCTCTGAGTGAACTAAGAGGAAAACGCTGAATCGGCAAGGAAACGGTGTGATTAATTATGCTACAATATGAGCATTTCTTTGCCAACAGGTAATTATGGAGAAACAGCGACTCTTCAAACAAACTGAAAACTTGGCATTTTCTATTGAATACACCAGCAACATTTTGAACAAGCACATTTTAGTCACTTTTTAAAGCATAAAGGACATAATGGAGTATTTATTTTACAAGAGAAAGTATTTTTACCTTAGTACTTTAACTTAACTTTTGCCAGAGCAACTTCTAATTGTAGATGATTAGATGAATGAGTATCAATGCTTTTACTCCAGTATTATTATTATTACTATTTTTACAATCTTTTTTCTGAAATGGAAAATGTTTGATATTTTTTCTTCTATCATCTGAAGGCACAAACGCAACAACGTGGGCAACCACCATCAAATTTGGCAACATTTTAGAAGAAAGTTATAGTTTTTGGTTGTTGAGACTTTTCTCTCAAAATTGAAAACATTCAACCCAAATAGTTAGAAAACTGTACTAATTTCTTAAGACTTACAATAAATCGTTTTTTTTCTGCGTTGTTTGATGAAAATGTCTGTTTAAATCATTTTAAAATGGAAAAACCACCTAAAAGTTTGGACGGTTTGCTCTAAAGCCTCAGTCAACTGTGCACAACAAATAAACGTTTAGCTTTAGCCATTTCTCTAAAACAACAGGTAAAAGTTTAATAAGTTGAGTATTGGGGTTTTCCTGTAAGATGTAAAAAAAAAAAAACGGCAGTTCAACCTGAGCCTTTCTCTAAAGGTTTCCGTCTATTAAATAAAAACTGAAAAGTCGATGTTCTGCTATCAGAAGCTAAAGAGCGTATGGATCCAGAGAGCGGCCGCTCTCACTCAGGTCGGCATCAATAATCAATGGGGAGCCTGTAAACCAGAGCAGTGGAGTTTAAAGCCGTTATTTAAGGACTCGCTTCCTTTGAGCCGTTTATGGGTTGGTTACTTTAATCTGTTGCTCTGACTCAGGGTCTCCTGCTGCGTGAATTAAAAATAAATAAATCCTGTTAGATCAGAGGTGATGATGAGGAAGGTAGGTCCTGAAAATGGTGCTGCACATTATTCCCCCCCAACAATAAATATTTAGCTAAATTAGTGACGTCAGAGTATTAGAGCCAGGAAGGGAGATACTGAATCTACACCCGAGTAGAAATTACCATCTTTGTTTCCTTCCTTTCTGTCCATTTTTCCTTCACTTCCTGATTTTATTACCATCATTTCTTCCTTTTTTTTTTGCTTTCTTTCATTCTTCTTTCCATCCTTTCCTATCCAAATTTTAGCTTCTTTCGTTTTATTTTGTCTCCTTTTTTTATTTTCCTCTCTTTTATCTGATCTATCCTTTCTTCCTACCTTCCTCCCCCCATCTTTTTAAGGTTCCTTCCTTTCCTCCCAATTTTTAGTTTTCCTTTCCTTTTATACTTCTATCATTCTTCCCTCCTTTCTTTCATCCCCATTTTCATCCCTCCTTGTGGTTGCAGCTCAGTGGAAACCGAGACGTTTTTCCTTCTTTCCCTCCTTTGTTGCAGAGTTCAGTAAAAATAATTCCCGTCTTTAATCGCCTGCAGCAGCAGAACCTTCACTTCGTTAGGAAATCATTTAAAACGCTACGTACGCATCACAGTTAAGATGGCGGAGGCGGTGGGCGGGGTCAGCAGCCCGTTGGTCGGTACGCAGGTGAAGTTCCCAGAGTCTTCTGGCCGTAAACGGACGATCTGCAGCGTTCCATCAACCAGGATCCTCACGCGCGACTTCAGAGACCTGCACAGGAAACATCCAGATAGTATATCTGAACAACGAGGGGAACGAAAACCAAAACAGTGGAGGTTTGTTTATATCTGAAGTGGACAGAAAACACTTTAAAAAAAACATTTTTTATGTTACTTCATCAGCAGGACTTTATAAGACCTTTTAATGCCACCCCCAATTAAATTTAAGACACAAAATATATATGTATTTATAGGGAATGGTTGGGGCTTACAATAAAGCACATGAATTTTAGATACATTAAGTTCTATTAATTCTTAAGACTTTTTAAGGCCTTATTTTTTTTTGACATTTTTAATGCCTTCTATTAATTTTAAGACTTTTTAAGGCCTTAATTTCTTTGCACATGAAATTAAGACTTTAAAATATTTAAGGCCTTAGTTTTAGATGAATTAGACTTTTTTAATGCCTTAATTTTCTAATTTTCATTTGTGAATTTAAGACTTTTTAAGCCTCAAACCAACATCAGAAGCTGATGGAGAGAGGAGAAGGTGTGACCAGAGATTCCCAGTTCCCCCGGCTCCTCCAGTCCCAGCTCTGCTGTGGTTTCATTTTCCCAGCAGCAGGACGGTGTGGGTCACATGCGTCCTGCCTGGCTGTAAATGGCAGCCATTTACGGCCCGACCCGGTTCTGGCCGCGCCAGCAGACAGCGGCGTTGGGAAACGACCTTTGGGTTTACGGCGCCGGAGCAGAACAGAGTTTACAACGGAAGGTTTTCCTGTTGTGTTGAGGCTCACTTTGGGTCAGAACGACGCTTTGATTCAAGGATGTTTGAAAAATGACTATTTTCATTTTTCTATCAGTCCATCAGTCCTTCCTTTCTTCCTTCATTTCATTCTTCCTCTTCTTATTTCTCCGCTTCCTCCCATTTCATTTTTGCTTTCTTATCTCCCTTCATTTTAATCCCTTGTTCCTTTCTTCCTCCCACCTTCCGTCATTAATTTCTTTTCTTCCTTTTCCTCCCTTCTTAATTCTCCTCCTTTCTTTTCTTTTAGCTTCTTACATCAATTACTCCTTCCCCTCTTTTCTTCCTACATTCCCTCCTTCCATCTTTTTTTTTTTCTTTCTTTGGTTTTCTGCTTTTTGTGCCATTGCTCTTTTTTTCTTCCTCTCTTTTCTTGTCCTTCACTCCCTCCTCCTTCCATTTATTCTGTTTCTTTTCCTTTACTGTTTTTTTTTTTCATTTTTTTCCGTATTTCCTTCCTTCCTTTCCTGTTTAGGCTCATAAAAGTCGACGGTTTTCACTCCAAACTTATCAAAATATGACGTAAAAACTTGAAGGTAAATATTCAAAAACTGGATTTCCAGCCTGACACCTCCACTGGTTTCCATAGGAGCCAATTTTCCAGAATTAGTTAGAGATAATTAAATCATCTCCATGTTTTGAACTCCAGCATTGCCAGCTATTTCCTGCACATCAACTCCAAATGCCCCTCTGAATTTCTGCCCTCATTAAAATCGTGTAGAGAATTAACCTGAGCTCGACTGTAATGAGTCGCGATGCGTTCAATGGGGAAACGCTAACGAGGGGAGCCCTAATGGAAATTACCCCAACCCTCTTCACCCCCATCTGCTCGTCTGACCTGCGCCGTATCCAGCAGCAGCTGGATGGCGAACGCTGGTAATCACAACCATTTACACTCAGATCCTCCGTCTCCCAGTTAAACATCAACAAACTCGATCTTTGCTGCACATTTTCGCTTTGTTACGATGAAATTAAACACCAGAAACTGAGGTGAGCACATCTGAATCTCCTTAAACCGGTGAATGAAAAACAGTTTAAAGTGTCATTAATCTTTTTACTTTTTTCCAAAACTAGCCACACAAAGACCATCTTTAATTCCTGCACTGCAAAAACACAAAATATTACTAACCAATTCTGGACTAGTTCTAGTGTAAATATCTCAGTACATTTAAAATAAGACAAAACTAACTTTTCAAGTACCTTTTCAGCAAGAAATAGGAGTTTGTTTTAAGTCAATAATTCCTTAATATCGATTAAAAAGTTCTAGCTTCGTTGGTAGAATGTCCCATCGTTACCTAGCAACCCCAGCCAAGCCCAGCCCGTTACCTAGCAACCCAGTACTAGTTCCATTGGCAGATTATTTCACTTATAACAGGACAATTTCCCCATTTTATAAGTGAAATAATCTGCCGATGGAAGATTTTCATTACTGACTTGAAACAAGCTCATGTCTTGCTGAAAAGTTACTTATAAGTTTCTTTCATCTTATCTCAAGTGTAATAGGATATTTGCACTCGAAACTAGACCAGAAATACTTGGTAAGATTTCGGTGTTTTGTGCCGTGTAATCCAAGAGGTCGACCGTAACTGGAGGAGCAGCATAGATTTAGATGTTCAAATATGGTAGAAACACCCAAAAATGTAGTTACAATGAAAATTTATGATCATTTTTATTTGTAAAAAACACAACAAAACATAAATACATCTTCTATATCAAGAGCAAAGTTTCAGTCTGACTAAAGAGCAATTCTGTCTTCAGCAGATCTTATTTGCATCAACTAGAAGCTGTAATAAGACAAGAATAAATGATCCCAGAGAAATAGAGAAACTAGAAGCACTACTGCTACTAGCAAAGAATCGTTTTTACAGCACAGGAGGGACAGACAGAAGGTCAAAACCATCAATTTTCAAGCCACAAACAGAGGAAAAGTTTGTCATCCAAACCTAACAAGCTTTTAGAAAACAGTTTTATAGATTTAGCTTGAAGCAGCTTTTGTGTGAATCTATACAGACATTAAACTCAGTAAAACCGAGATTAGAAACTGCTCCACTCACTCGATATGATGGACGTTTTCTCCGGCTTTCTGCCACACATACGTCATGTTGGGAGGGTCGGCCACCGCCTGGCACTGCAGCAGTGCATTCTGGGACATGTTGAGGGTTGCGTCTTTAGGAGGAACCATGATGACAGGCGGACCTGAACAGGAATAAACGACAGAGTTTTCATGCTTCTTTTTTGTGAAGAAACAAAAACAACTTTAAAATCTGTGTAGAAAAACAAACATTTAAATATTAAAAGTGGTGCCAACATTTTTAAACAGGATTTTTGGAACGTTTTCATGCAAAAATTATTTGACCTTTTTTCACTCTAAAACCTTTGAAGAGAAAACAAGAAGATGCAACTTCTGGAGGACAAATGTTTGTTTTCCGACTCAGGCGGTTACTAGATTTAGGGGAAAATTTGAAGAGCTATTTTTCCCCTCAACAGTTCAAATCATAATTTGAAATTTTATTCAGCATATTTTGTTGGATAACCACATTAAATTGATATTCTGAAAAATTTAAGTGTTATTAAAAATAAAAAAACATAAGAAATCTGTGTGGAAGCAAGAGCTTTTTCACAGAATTGGCCAAAATACACGAAAACAGCAAGTAAAGCAGGTGAAGTTTAAAAGGCTGGAGGGTCTGAGGAAGATTTGACAACAAGCTGACACCTGACAGAGGGAAGATGTTGGACCGCTCCGCATATAGACACGAGACTGAGAGAAACACGGCGGCGGTGGGAGCTAATAAAGGGAGAGCGGGCAGCCTCACGGGCTGGAAAATACACAAAGACAAGGAGAAAATCAAGCTATGACACCTGTGGGAAGTGGTTATTTGAAACAAACGTGTTGGGCCCAAACAATGACAGGAAAGAGACAGCTGCAACATGACGGGAATTACTTTCTGTGTGGGTTTGTTCTGGTTTTGTCATGTTTCTGGGGTCTTAAGATGATTATTGTTGGGGTAAAAAGTTTAGTGGGTAAAGAAAGTTGGAGCCGAAATTTAGTTTCTTCCATGTGGACATTTTCTTACGGATGGGAATTAGTCATAAATGCAGGAGTCATCAACACTGGGATCTTAAAAGTTAGTTATGCCAACCCTAAAGCTCTACACCAGTTAATAGTTATGCTAACTTAGCTTATGTCCTATCAAAGTTATCTTATATTCCAGCTAAGTTGACTAATGCTGGGATTTGCTAGCTGATGCTAACCTACCTAGGGTATTATACCTTATTAAGGATATCTTGCGTCTGTGAAGCCATATACTTTCAAGCTAACTTAGCATTATCCAACTTAGCATTTGCTAAGTAAGCTAAGTTAGCATAACTATTAACTGGTGTAGAGCTTTAGAGTTAGCAGAAGCATTACCTATGCTAACCCTAAAGCTCTACACCAATTAATAGGATAGGATACAAGCTTTCTTATATCCCAGCTAAATTAGCTAAGATATAGCTATTGCTAGCTAACTTGATAATGCTAACTTAGCTAGGATATAAGTTAAGTTAGCATTACCTAATGGTAACATTTTTTCCTTCTTGGAAATAATATTACCGTTGACCCTAGCATGTACTAACTTAGCATTAGCAGCTAAGTTAGCACCAACAACTATTAGCAAAATAAATTTTTACTTTGAAACAAATTCTTTACTTTGTAGCTATTCCAAAGTATACTCATAGTAAGTAATACATTCAAACTGCAATATTATATTGCAGCAATTAAGAAGCAAAACACTTAAAGTGAGAAAAAATCATTTTTGCAGTGAAGTCAGCCGTTAGCAGAAGGCTAATGAGCAGAAGCGCGTCTCTCCACCTGCTTTACATGTAAACAACAATAATCTCTGCAGCAGTCACTACACATCAGGCTGGTAATCCAACATCTGTGCATGAGTAACAGGTCGGAGGTCACCAACGGCTTTCAGACCGACTTCATGCAGATCAGATATTAGTCTGGATTAATCCGCCCGTGTGGGAACGCAGCAGGAAGCCGCCGCCAAAGCCCAGATAAAGTGATTTCAGTCGGCTCATGAGGATTATTAGTTGTAATGTGACCACTCCGACTGCGAGAGCCTCAAATTAAGTTAAACCTGGATGAGGTTTGGTGGTAAAATATGTTAGAAAATGATGTAAATATATTTCCTGGCTCTCCTGAGGAACGGGATCTGCAGTAGGAGTTGGAGTAGGAGTACAGGAGAAAGTCAGAAATAAATCCCACTGTTTGTTATGCAGAGCTGTGTCGGTGTAATCCAATGATGCACAGATTCATATTTGCATATTCTTCATGCTTTTGTCCTCAAAATTGACTCATTTTTACATTTTCCTGACAGCCAGTCATGACTGCGTAAAAAAACTCAAATTAAAACAGAAAGACTCCACGATGCTAATAAATCCCCAGTTTCGTCTTTTAAACTTTCACTTGGTTTCAAAGTGAAATAAAATAAGGATGACTTCAGTTTGAGCTTTAATACAACGGTGTCGTCTGACGCAAGGCCAGGAAAGAGGAATGTAAATCACAGCGTCTTCAGGCACAAAGGCAGACAGGCGGCGACAGCTGACCTTTGATCTCCAGCCTCGCCACGCGGCTGGCGTTTCCCTCGGCGTTGGAGGCGTGGCAGGCGTACAGCCCGGCCGCCTGCGCGGTCACCGCCGGCAGAGACAGCGCTCCTCCCTGGTGAGAGCGACGAGACGGAGAAACTCAGGATGATTTCACATGAGAGGCGCTTTAAGGAAAAGTTACGCTCATTAAAAATGCAAGACCGGCGCCAGAAACTTGCTGATATTCACTGCTGTTCTCTGCCAGCGGCTGCGGAGCAAATAAATACTTCATTCCTTTACGTTTCCTCGTCGAAAAATTAAGAAATTCTTGCAAGTTGGTTTCAAACAAAAGCTGTCAAAAGAGATAATGTTCTTCACTCTCACTTCACTAATTAAACTCTAATGAAATAAAGATACTTGAAGAGAAAACGATCTTTTACTGCAGCAGCAGAAGCATAAAAAAATACAAAAATCAAACAATTTTAATACATTTATTTCCTGGAGGTAAAGAAAGTAGAAAATCATCAGTTTAGCTGTCAATTCCTGTAAAATAAATATAATTTTTGACAATGATGAGTAAAAACCTGAAACTCCAGTGACTTTTATTGGGATTTTATCCGGCTGGAGCGACATCTACACAGCATGATGCTCTATGCTACTCTTCAAAATGGGAAAAATAAGAAAACATTCCCGTCTGCATGTTTTTTTTAGCAGCATAAAACTTCTTAAATAAGGACAACAAACTGAGTCATTAGGCGTAGTAACACACTTCCTATTGCTCATCAGTTTATGATCAATACTAGATAATAACTGACATTGATTAATAATAAAAACACATTTTAAAAAATAATAATCAAAAAATATTAATGCAGAAAAACTCAAAACAAAGCAAAAATATCATAGGTGGTAGAAAACTCAGAAATAAATACACAGGTGACAACATATGAGGAAAAAATATGGATTAAAAAGAGAAGAAGGAGAAATCAACATTAAAGGCAATTATTAAAACTTATAGTGATCAATTCATGATTTGTTTTATAAGTCAAAACAATCTGGTTTCTACAAATATTAATTTGTATTATATAGTGAGAAAAACACGTTATACTTCATAGATTTATATTTATAGTAATATATAAAAATAAACTAAATTGTTTTAAATATTTGTAATATAATAATATTTGTAATAAGTTAATATTAAATAATTACAAAAAAAGCACAAAACTACCGACACGTCTGAAATATATTTAATAATTTATTTCCAGTTGTATTTTAATTATGACAAACATAAATTAAATTAAATGATTTATATGTTTAGTAGTACCAGTTTAAATGCACTCTGTCAATATTTCCCTAACGAATAACTGAAAATAATAAAAACTATAATTTTAAGCGGGGAGGAAAGAGAGGCTCGGCGTAGGAGTGGGTGAAGCCATTTTGAATTCAATACGGGGGTCAGAGGTCAGAAGTGCTGTTTACGCGGCCGCTCTTATTCTTCCAACAACATGCCTCTTGAAATAAAAAAAAACAGACATTCAGAGAAGAGACATTTTAAGAAACAGCAGGTGCTTCTTTTCAGCATGTTTTTTTTTTTACACAATAAACAGAAGCATAAAGGGAGAAAGACGATTGCTGCCCCCAAACGCGGCCTTGACTGGAAAACTCGACAAACACTTCACATTCAGGGAAGAGGGGAAGCTGAACGACTCTGAAAACTCCACTTCAAACCGCACTCAACGTCCGACTATCACAAGAAAACCGCAACAATAAACTTTGCTTTCAGAAGTGAGTAAAAAGTTAATTTAATGTCATTTGAGTGAAACTTTTTAAAGTTTATTTTGTTTGTTTATTTAGGAGAAATCCAGTAAATTATTGGTTGTGTACCTGAAGGTTTGCACTGGGAACGGCGCTGCCGTCTTTTAGCCAGGTGATGGTTGGCGTAGGGTTGCCAATAGCAACGCAGTCAAGAGACAGGGGACTTCCCACCAGGGCCTGGACCACAGGGGGCGGGGCTTTGGTGAAAGTGGGCGGGGCTAAAGAGAAAACACAAACAAGCTGGAAATGAATCTTTTCCCCCCACAAGATAAATATCAAAGGATTATCAAAAAGAGTCAAAACATTTTCTCTCCATCATTTCACCTGACTGTAATCAAATAATAAATACTTAAATATTTACATATAATTACAAAAGGAAACTTAAATACATTTTGACATTGTGTTATTTGCAAATGTATTTTTTTCCTTTCAGCATGATTTATGAAAGTATTGAAATTTGTAAATTACAGACATGAATAAACTAAAATGTCTTTAGTTTTGCAAATTCATCGGACAATCAATTTATTTATTTATGCAATTTGTAATAAATTGCACTTAATTAGTGGAATTACACTGGAATAACTGTATAACAAACAAAGTACAATGTTAAAAGTTTCTGTCAAAAAGTTGATCTGTGCTAAACTTTTCCACAGAAATGCAGCTTTTTAAAATGTTTTTATTTATTCGTCATTTAATTAAGCTTTCCTGCTGTCACTTGATTACAGATTAAAATAATAAAACCAGAGAAAAACGAGATTAGCTACAGATGTCTGCAGCTTTAGTTATTTTTCCAGAACAAACTAGATTTCACATTATGTTAACTTAAGAAATTAAAAATAATCTAAACTAAATTGGAATTTTGTGAAAAAGTAATTTAGCCAAACTTTATACCTAAATGCCTGTTGTATCAAATATGATACAAACAGTTTTAGTAGCGCCAACAGTTCCGTTTTTCAAAATAAAAACACATTTGATTATCATTTCTTGCATGAGGTTTGAAAGATTTAAAGTCAGGACTTAAATGCATAAATGTGAATCATAAAATCTGCATTTCTCAGATTCGATTTGAACTTTCAGAGAAAACTGCTGACTGCTGGACTCTTGTTTCGCCTCGTAGGGCGCAGGTGCTGTGATTTGTTGCGGAAGAAGCGGGTGAAGAACCCGTTATCGCTCCCGACTCTCACGCGGTCCAGCTTCGCTTTGATCTGTTCGTTTCTTCTGAGCAGCGACAGCGAAAGGTTTTCCAAACACAAACAGACTTCAAAGCACACACACGGGGAAAAAAAAGAGATAATAATCCATATTTTATACCCAGAGTTAATATTTAAACCGTCAACAGGAATAACTACTTATTTTACCCCTGAAATCAGAGATTATTAAATATTACCTGATGCAAATAGAGACTTTAGACACGTCCAACTTCTTTAAGCAGCATTTAAAAGTTGGACCTTTAAAGAAGTTTGATAATTTATAGCATCTGTCATATGATGCTTATTTTGTAGAGCAAAATAAACGCAACATAAGCGCAGACATTATGGAAGATTCACTTTTTAAAGAGGCAGAAACTACCTAATGAGGCTATAAACCATTCTTTTCATTTTCTGGGTTATAAATAAATAAAATTTAGACTTTGATGTGTTGAGAAAAAACAGAAAACTGTGAAATTGGATCAAAACAATGTACCTCTGAAGAGGAGCAGAGAAGCTGGATATCTTCTGGTAAAATGTTTTCCCTTAAATCATTACGGCGCATTATAAATAACTAAAGAACTAGGTTTAGGTGGGTATTTCATACAAGCAAACGCTGGAGGCTCTGCTGTAATCCCACCAAGTGGAACAAGAGTTTAGGGTTTTATTTAAAATCTGGATAAATGCATCTTTAATGTGTTTTTCTGCCACAGCTGCACCCCGTTGATCAGCTCTTTCAGGGTCAGGATTGTTTTGTTTCTGACTGAATGGGACAAGATTTCTGCAACATGATGCAAGTTTTAAGCAGGAAATGAGACCAGCTTCCCGCTGTGCAGAGGTTTGGTTGTGTCTTCATCTAAAACATGTTTTTAATTCATCTAAAAACTGCCAAAACTAAAACAGTTACTTAGTAATTATTGTAGAAGTACATCTGAAATATTAATTAGCCTAAATCAACCATCAATTACAAATCTGGACTTTCAAATTGATCTTCACATCCAACTCCCAGTAAAAACTCACTTTTGTAAGAAAAACCAAACTCGGCATAATAAAAGCTTCCGTGTTCTTTCAAAATAAAGTTCAGTTCAAACATTTAAAATAAAGTTATATTTGAATTACTGTCAAATATAAAAAATGTTTTATAATGATTAGAAATAACTGTTATGAAGAAGCTGCGTGTGGAGTTTGCATGTTCTCCCTGTGCATGCGTGGGTTTTCTCCAGGTACTCCGGCTTCCTCCCACAGTCCAAAAACATGACTGTCAGGTTAATTGGCCTCTCTAAATTGCCCCTAGGTGTGAATGTCTGTGTGCATGGTTGTTTGTCCTCTGTGTTGCCCTGCGACAGACTGGTGATCTGTCCAGGGTGACCCGCCTCTCGCCCCAAACGTTAGCTGGAGAGGCACCAGCACCTCCCAACCCCACCAAGAGACAAGGGTGTACAGAAGATGGATGGATGAAGAAGCTGCAACATCTTCAACAAACAAAAGAATAAATCCTGTGGCCTTTTATTTAAGCGCTGAGCATTGTTTGTGTAGTTAACCTGAGCTAATATGTAGTTTTAGCAACTTATTAGCTAAAATATAGCTAAAACTATGTTTAGCTATAAAACATGTAGCTAACATAATATAAATAAAAAATCTAAACATAGGTAATACTATATAGTTTTAACTATACATGTAGTTTTAGCTACATGTTCAACTATATTGTTAAAATTAGCTATGTTAGCTAAACATATTGATAAAATTAGCTATAAAATCCTATTTAGTTTCCCAGACAATAGTGGAACACAAAAAACATGCAAAAATTACTTTTTTTTTTGGGCTGTTGTAATCATTAAACCGTCTCCCATTCAGCTCCACCTTTTCAGAGGAGATACATTATTGATTTTGCCATTAAAATTAAAATAACTTGCTATTAAGTAAGTACTGGGAAAAACTCAATGTAATTATTGTACTGAGGCAGAGGAGGGTTGTTGTTAGCAGCTGCTGAAAGTTCGAGTAATCAGTAAAATAGCCACGTTACTTTTTCAAGGAGTAATCAGTAATTCAATGAAAGTTACATTTTCCAGTAACTATGCCATCCTGACGCTCACCAATGACGGAAGGTAAAAATCACATTGTTATCCCAAAGACGGCTCGGTTTCAGAGCATTAATCCAGCAGGATGCAGCTCACCGGTCACAGAAAGCCGAGTCCAGTCGCTGCTCTGCTCTTCCTCCTCCAGTTTGTCCAGCTGAAATATCCGGCAGCTGTAGAAACCCTGGTCCTCCAGCTGCAGGCGCTCCAGCCTCAGGGTGGCGCTGCTGAGCAGAGACGCCCGCCCTGCAGGGACAGAGCCAGACTGGACTTCACTTTTCACCTTTCAACGTTTTATTTGTGGAGAAAAACAAAGCCAAAAAACAAAACAAAAAAAGGTTCAAGTTTTTCTTTTTTTATTTTATTTTTCAGTTACAGAAACCGGCGCTCGATGAACGCTGCGCACACACACACAAACCCAGAAACCGGATCTGCTGGTTGCCAGGTGACGGCTCCCAGGAGCCAGCGCTGCCTGTAACATCAACCCTTTATCTCTCGGAGGCTGCAGACTAACTGTCCATGTAGATTTCACACCTTAACGGATAGATCCAACAGAAAGGAAGAAAAAACCTGCACCTCCTCGGGAAGAAAATAAAACGTGAAAGCATCAAACAGACTGCAGGATCGCTCTGTACCACAGGGAAGTCACTGTTGTGATGGTAATTATTAACAGATTCAGTGGATTGGAGGGAGCCTGGCGGCGAGAGACGGGCCTGACTGTAAAAAAAAAAAAAAAAAAAAGATCCAGGAAGTTTGAGCCAGGTATGCTTCCAGAGATAACACACCCTGTTTACTTTTCCTCGCCGCCAAAGGGGATCAAATCCACAGGGAGGGGACAGAAGTGGGAGCGAAAGTGGAGCAAAACACACATCAGCATACACTCAAGGGATTAGCTCGTTTCAAAACCCTGCCCTTTGACCCCCTCTGGTTTTTATCTCCGCTGCCTTCCTGTGATATAGGTCAGTGCAGCGCTGAACGGGAGGCAGACATGCTGCTGGATTTCAGCCGGGGAAAATGGACAGAAGTGGAAAAGAAAAAGATCTGAGCGAGACGAGAAGATGCAGAAATGAAAAGTGATCAAATTTGTAAAATCCCACTAGAGCAACTTTTATCAAATGCAGGAACACGTCCTGCTGAATCCATTCAGGGTGTTGGAGCAGGAAGCCTATCTGTTCTGCAACACGCCAGTTCAAAGTGCTTTACATCATAAAAACTCAAAATAAAAACATACAGGCACAAATTAAAAAACCAGAACCAAACTTAACATTTTTGTTGAGTGACATCAAATATGTTGATCAATGATCCATTTATTATGCGTCAAAAGAAACGCTGAACTGGTTAGGCTTGATTTAAGGCAGTGTTTCTCAATTCCAGTCCTCAGGCCCCCCTGCCCTGCACGCTTTAGGTGTTTCCCTTCTGCCACACACCTGGATTCAATATCCTGGTGATTAACAGGCTTCTGCAGTACTTGATGGTCATGCAATCATTTGAATCAGCTGTTCTGAAGTAGAGGCACACCTATAACATGCAGAGCAGGGGGGCCTGACGACTGGAATCGAGAAGCACCGATTCAAGGGAACTCAGCGTTTCGACTGTTTTTACATTTTCTGGAAGTTTGTTCCAGATTTGTTTATTTACTGTTGTCGTTTAGTAATTTCTTGAAATACAAGAGCTCTCAGAAATTTCTGTAATTTTCATTCCATCACTAATATGACAATTCAACTAAAAAACATGAAGTGTGCTGCAAAAACACAAAATCTTACCAAGTGATTTTGAAGTAGTTTCTAGTGAAAATATAAGACAAACTAATTACGAGTCATTTTTAACAAGATATAGAAGCTTGTTTAGTCAATAACCTCTTTATATTGATGGAAAAAGTTCTAGTTCTGTTGGTAGAACCTTCCTCTGTGCCGTTACCTAGCAACCCCAGCCAAGCTCAGCCCGTTACCTAGCAACGCAGTTCTATGGAACTAGAGCTTTATTATCTGTATTAAAGTATTTATTCAAAACAAGTGCATATTTGTTCCTGAAAAGTTTATTTTAAGCTAGTTTGTCTTATTCCAAGAAACTAGACCAAAATTACTTGGTGAGATTTTGTGTTTTGGCAACGTAAATAAATATTTTATTTATAAGGTGCTTTTCACAGACATAAAATGATAAAGAGCTGTATAACAAAAAAAATCAACCTTGAAATTGTACAAAGCGTAAAACAAGAAAATCTGTTAAAAGGAAAATAAATAGAAAAGGTCGGGTTGCCTGGCTCCATAAGAGCCCATGAACTCAAACCAATTACATCACACATATTTACAAAACAAAAATTTTATATTTTATCTTATCTACATCTTCTATCTTTATGTGAGCCCACAGATCGTCTCTCATTAAGCCACTATTAGGTAGAATTTTAAATGTTCTTGTTGCCAAGACCATCTAACCTGGAACCAAGTCAAGAACAACAGCAAACCAATATGAGAGCATTAGTTAAAGAGGCAGTATTATGCATTTTCCAGGCAAATATTTACTTGATTGTGGCTTGAAATTGGGCCTCTGTCTCTTTAAGAAACTCCTGCCTTCAGGACCATTATCCCTTTAACAACATTTTTACCAGCTTTTCACTGTGAAGTAACTCCTATAATGAAATCAGATGTTTTTCAGACGTTTGCTAATTGCTGCTGGCTAGTCTGAAGGAGCTGAAAGGAGGAAACTGCAGCTCAGAGGAAGAGCTGAGCCTCGAAGGCGGAGCTAGGTCCACCAAGGCGTTTTCAGCTGAATGGTTGCCATGGAGATTAAATGATCAAAGCAACACTCCAGGAAATATCATTATGCAAAGCTCAAAAAAGCTGATTTCATATAACACTACCCCTTTAAGAACAAAACACTTAAATTTAACAACATCCTCACTAGTTAGTTTCCACCTACATTTCAGTGAACCCAAACTTTTATGCAAGCAGAACCTCAACCACATGCTTGTCTGACAGTTTCACAAGTGAAATGGAGAATTTATTGAGCTGGATGCTAACCAACGTGGCTTCGTCTGCAGGCGGATTGAAACGAGGCGACACGGTTGGAGGTGAAGGTATTAAAGCAGCGTCGGTTCTTTAAGCGTGATGCAGAGTCAGAAAAACATCCGTATATTTGCAGAAGAAAATGTTTCTTCGCCTTGTTTCTCCTCCTTCACGACAGCAGCACAGGTGGAGGCAATAAAATATTCAAAGTAAAGAAAGTTTAGTGGTTGAATTTGAATGCAGGCAGGAGCTTCATGCCAGGCTGCAGTGAAACAAAAAGATGATGTAGCTGTGTGGGGAAAAAAGAAAAAAATCCAAACCGAGACCGAATATCCACAGCAGAGGATCAGAGGTAGTAGAGTACACACAGAGAGTATTCAAGTAAAAGTATCACTACTTCAGCATATTTTTACTCAAGTAAAAAGATGTTCAAGAAATTAAAAATGTGTTTGGTAAAAAGTCTACTCAAGTATTGAGTAACTGGTCAAACTGGCCAAAGTAACTTTTGACTATATGAACCTGAGAGGGTAAGGTCTATGTGTACACAGGGACAAACTTATTAAGCTGTCAGATCACAAATCACAAATGTAGTAAAATGAGATGGCTTTAGTTTTGCATTACCGATGTAAAAACACACAACAGGATTTCCATTTTCTTCTTTGCCCAAACTACAACTTCACTGTTGAAAACGCACAACTTTTATCCTTCAGCTTTTCTTTAAATCTGTTGTTGAGCGCGTCGTCTCTTCTGCAGTATCAGAACCAGGGGCCTAAAAAGGCTCAGCATTGCAAAATCACAAAATCATACCTGGTAGTTTTAGTCTAGTTTCTAGTGAAAATATCTCATTACACTTGAAATAAGAAAAACTAACTTACAAGCAACTTTTTCAGGACATCTAGAAGCTTGTTTGAAAACATAACTCACTTAAAAATACGGGGAAAATGTCTTGTTATAAGTGAAATAATCTACCAGTGGAACTAGAACTGGGTTGCTAGGTAACGGGCTGGGCTAGGCTGGGGTTGCTAGGTAACGGCTCAGTGGAATGTTCCAACAGTGGAACTAGAATTTTGAGCTAGAATTATTTATGTAAAACAAGCTTATTTATCTTGCTGGAAAATGACGTGTAAGTTAGTTTGAGTCATTACTAAGATGCTAAGATGCTCTAGAAACCAGACAAAAATTACTTGGTAAGATTTTGTGTTTTTACAGTGAACACAGCCTGATAGAGAAGGCTGGTTCTGTTCTGGTTACGACTGTGGAACGATACAGAGAAGGATTCTTCATAAATTCAAGAAAATAATGGACAATCCTGACCAGCGTCTTCATGAGACTGTCTTCAGTCAGAGGCTTCTTCAAATTCGCTGTAATACTGACTGCTACCTGCCAACAGCCATCGCCATCTACAGGAACGCTTTGAAGACTTTGAGTCAACAACATTTAATTTCACTTTGGAATCAATAAGATATTTTTGAATTTGCATAAATAATGTCTACTTCCTGATATATTACCATCAGGATCTACTTCACATCTACAGAATTGGGCCAATCTGTCTCTGCAGTTCATTCAGTTTACAGGTTTTCTATGAGTCCACTACATTATGGAGTTCCTCAAGGTTCTGCTCTGGTGTCCTTGTAGTTTCTGTTGCACCTGCTCACACTTCAGTATAATTTAACAAGTCATTTTTGTGTTAAAATTCAGTTACACATCTCTTCTAAGGTTTTTGAGGTAAAAACTTTAGAAGAATGTAACATTTTAGTATATTTCTGAAAATGGCGAATGCTGTGAAGCTGGGAGTTTTTTGTCCACACAATCTCTTACAGACTTCATTTTAACACCCAACTTTGAAATACATAAAATAAATTTGGAATAACAAGCAAAATGCAAACACTGAGGTTTCAAACGTGCTCTTTTGGGACAGAAATACGGCAAATATATCATCAAACCCACCACAACAAGGCCTGAGGTTCCTACAAATAAACTTTTTCAAAACAATATTCACTTCTTCTCTTTATGTTAATCTGTTTGCACACAGCACTCGCCATCAAAAGTAGCAGCTATGTGGGTTTTTCAAACGCCCAAACCAAACAATACCCTTTGTCAGCACAATTCAACCACACAATGCATTTATTTGTCAAATTGCCTTTGACTGAATCCCCCTGAAGGCTCCTTCCCCCAATGCTCTTAGGTGACACTGAAACACAAAACCATGGAGTGAAACTCTGCAAAAGTAAAGAAAATAATTCA